CATGAATTCGAAAAATAAGTTTATTTTGAATTTTAATAAACTAAACGTTCACCAAAAAACTTTAGTGAGAAAAATCGAAAAAACGAACTACAAATATATTAACGCCAAACATTCGGTAGAATTTATAGAATATTGTAAAAATTATGGTCTATTACCAACATATATATATATATATATATATATATATATATATATATATATATATATATATGTATATGTATATAAATTATGTGTGTATATATATATATATAAATTATATGTGTGTGTATGTGTGTGTGTGTGTGTGTAACAAGAGACATTGAAGCATTGATGTTTTTTAAGTGACAGACAATGTGTGGAATTAAATTCAAGCAACCAATACGACAAAAAAATAAGATCCTCAAACATTTTAAATAAGAATGTTTATGAAAATAATAGCTGTAGTAGAAAAATCATTATATAATAATTAACAAAAACCAAATTGAAATACCATAGTGCTTCTAAATAAAACTTGAAATAATTCATTAAATAAAATCAATAAAAAAAAAACTTATTAAAAATATCGCAAAAGAGCTACTTACTGGCATTCTAAAATATGATTGAAATTTCCTCAAGGCAACATCTATCTGCATGTTTGTCAAATCAATCTCCTCAGCAAAACATCTGTGACCATCAATTTTTATTAATATGCTAAATTTTATCCATTAAATAAGAGATAATTTCATTATTTACAACCTAATAATATTCACAAATATGAATAAAATCTTTTTAATATGAATAATCCACATCATTGCTTTGTTGCATCATTCGTAGCTTGCCAAGCAGAAACGTTTTTATACACAAAAATTACCTATAGGTGATTTTTCTGTATAAATCAGCAAGAAATTTCAATAAATTTTAATAAGTAAACATTTTAATGACTAAAAACTGCTAAAAGCCATTCTAATCTATAAATTTATAACGAACAAACAGCAGCAAATTAACCTAACGTTAAAAAGGCAGGAGTAGAGGTAGAAAGTAAAAAATTGAGAGACAAAACTCATCACACTTCTAAAGATTTTAACACAATTTTCAGATGTTTGAAATGTTTAAAATAATTTAGAATTACTTGAACATGATTATTCTAAAAATGTATGAAACATTTGCACCACATCAGAATGTTACATTAAAAAAATTTTTCATTTGAATATTTTCCAGTTTTTTGTTTGTATGCAAATCGATTAACTTTGAATGATCAAAATTCAACTTTTTGCAAATCGATTAACTTTAAATGATCAAAATTCAACTTTTAAAGTAAAAATATAAATTAAAGTGCATAAATAACATGATATTACAAATGAATGGAAACATTTAATATATGATAACGCTTGTGTTTTGTAGACAACAGTGCCACAGAATTCAAACATCAATAAAATGGTAAAATAATAATTTAAATAACTCTAAAATGAATAAACACTGGGTGGTAAAATATCTGTTTATAAGTTAAATTAAACTAATTTTCAATCACCAATAATCAAAAAAAATATGACCAATAATCAATATTTTATTATTTGTTATGAATAAACAAATTTAAGGCCTATTTAAATTAAGTCAAACCTATTCCAACGTTCAAACTGAAATGGATTTTAACTTTGTTTTTTGTGGCATAGGAACATTCAGTTTCTGCCCTTCATTAAACTATTTTGCTTAATGACCAAAATTCTCACATAAGAGCATCCAATTAAAAAGATAACTAAAAATGGCAAAGTATAAAAAAGAAACCTTAAGACTTCCATGTTGAACTGTTTTTGAAGGTTGCCCAAGTATTCGCCAATCATTTGTTTGCTGAGACCTTTGCGAGCAATCAGGAAACGAGCTACAGCACTTGGTCGATTATCCAGGAAATGTCTTTCTATAAGGTAACATATCCCTTTTTCGGGTTTCCTGTGTTAAACCAAATTATAAAATAATGAAAAATGAAACAAGAACAACTCAAGAACAAGAAAGTGAAAAGAAATGAAGAAAATTTCATGATAGAAAAAAATATGAAAAATGTAGATAAAAAGTACACAACTGGATAATAAAACTAATAAAACTAATAAAACTCACAGAATATATACTGAAGCAATAAAACTCAAATTAGGAAAGCTATCACAGGATTCAGAGGAACAAGCCGTTATTTTAACATTTTAAAAATCTTTTCAATGCAGAACAAGAAGTCGCACTCAAACTTTACCTAATATGCTTTCACAAGACAGCAAAATTGTTAGCAACCTATTTACCAGTCAATCATGTGGATAAACATGATCTGCCAATAACAATTTCTGTTAAACAGCAAATACAGAAATCAGCCTGATTAAACCTATTTCCAACCAAGAATTCAATTCTTTACAACCAAATCTTAATATATAGCTTATCCTGCATAAAATGCATCAAAGTTGAATTTAATAAAAAGTATATAGCTCAAATCCATCAGACTAGCTATTTTTTTATAAGAAACAATTTTTGGACTATGGCAATTCATTATGTACTCAACTGTATGCACAACAATAGAAGCTGGCAAAATAAGTAAAATTATATTTAAAATTAAAACACAATTAGAAGAAAAATTCATAAATAAACAAATAACAATGAATTAAAAATCACCAACTTATTAAACAGATTTAATCCAATCCTGTAAGTCCTCTTCCTTTGTTTGTCAGACAACCTTAGTTTATTGGTGTTTGTATTAACAAAATTACTGCTGGCATTAATGTTGTCAAAGTTGTTTAGATTGTACTGAGTCGTTACATCTGGTTTGTTCAGAGAAAAAGAGGATACCAATTGATTTGTCAACAACAATTCATTCATAGGTGGTGTGTTGTTTAGTTGCAACAAATTTGGAACAATTTGGTTTTCCTGACTGTGCAGTAATTCCTCTTTACCTCCTTCAATCTTTCTCTTCCAAACAGGTGAATTGAATGATATGCAATTATCAGACATATTGGCACAATTAACTATAGCAGGGTCGATAATTTCACTAGCCATATGTTTTAAAATGCTGCAATTTCTCATGTTTAAATTATAAATTTCATCAACTGAGTTTTGAGGTTGTGAAAGATGTTGATGCTGTGTTTTAGAGTGAGCATAACCATAAACTTCTGGAGTTCCAGCACTTACTAAGTCATCAATTTTTGCAGGTTCTTCTGATCCATGGTCAGACTGGACAAATGAGTTCTCGAACATATCATCTTCCATTGCCTCATCCAAGTTAGGTAGCTCAGCAATCATCTCATTGTCATATTCTGCATTGGAATCCACATTAATGGAATCTTGAGAGTGAATTGTTGTAAATACGGAAGGATGTGGGCAGTTAAAAGCTGACAGTTGATTACTGTATTTACAAGAATGGTACCTTGGATCTGAACTATCTGAGTCAGAATGATCAGACTGGTGCATCACCATCATGTGATGTTGATGCTGGCTAGCTTGGTATTGATTAGATAGAGGAGGTGGCGCTTTTATATCTTGCAGATTTTCTGGCTTTCTTAATTTCATGTGATCATCTATTGACTCCTGGATGGAAGCCATGACAGGTATGGCAAAAGTTTTCTCTTCTCTTCTTACAATCCTCTCTTCTGATATAGTTGTGGTGATTGCCATATTTCTAAACCTGTGAGGAATTTTTCTGTTGAACTCATCAACCGAGGCATTAGCTGAATCATTAATCTGGCAAACACTTTGCGCTCTCAACGGATCAATAAATGTCATAGATGGGAAATCTGAAAGAGCAGAAACACTGGGTGCCGCATCCATCCAGATTGTTTTGCTTCTGCCAGCTTCATTGAATCTCCTTGAAAGCCTTCTTCTGTCAACTTCTTGTCTCAACTTTGCAAAATTTTTATCTAGGGAATATCTTCTATATGCCTGTTGTATAATTCTGGCAGCTCTACTGGCTCGAGCTTCTCCCCCATATTTGCGTTTCAACATTTCCAACTGTTTGGCCTGAAGGTCTTGCGAAAGTTCGTAATCGTATGCCGAGTCTCTTGACCGTTTCAATTTGTCGCCTTCATCGATCGGTCGTTTTTGCATCAGTCTATGAGGGTGGTGATGGTGGTGATAAAACTGTTGTTGACGATAAGCATAAGTTAGGGGAGTTGATTGCAAAGATATTTGTGCATGCAGTTGTTTATGAAGCAGTGGTTGTTGATGATACTGAGCAGAGTTTGAGACATGAGTTTTTGAATGGCAGTTACATCCCGTTGGCTTCTGTTGATGCTCTTGCTGAGGATACTGATAATGATAACAATGAGTATTGCCTTGTCCATAATTATTCTGATACTTTAGATGATTCGTACAATTAATTATTTGAGAAGTTTGATAAAAATTATTAACGTTGAAATTGTTAACATTGCTATGAGCTTTCAGATGTTGCCCTGCCGGAGCACTGATCGGCTTGAATGCAGAATTTGGGTGGCAATGTAGGAATTCATGTACTGCTTGCTGGTAAGGATTTTGGTAAAAACAACGACAATGCACTGGCTGTATATTTTGTTGTATATACTTCTGATGTTGTTGTAATTGCTGCTGCTGTTTTTTTGAAATTTGCAAATCTTGCCAGTTGGCACGACAAGACTGTGATGCTGACTGATGATGGCAGTCAACAACACAATAACTTTTGTTACAACACTGCTGTTGCTGAGGAAGTTGTTGTTGAAAATGTTGTTGCTGCTGCATTTGTTGTTTATTTTGTTGAATAGCAGTATGTAGCTTGGAAGATAATTTTGAAGGGTGCTGAGATGAAGGAAACATTGTTCAGTGCTTCCCACCACCGTTTAGCAATTATCTTGAATTAAAATTATATTAAATAAATAAATCTCTTTTTTAAATTAAAAAAATCAAATTAATCACATAAATAAGTTTTTATCATTATTGAAAACATAAATTATAATGACAATTGTTAAAAATGTTTAAATTTAGCAATATCATTATAGTATTATGCATATTATCATTGTTTTAGTTAGGTCATCAGAACCTGTAGAGGAGCCAGAGAAAAATTTCTATAAAACCAAAGTTTGAAAAATCTTATTTAAAATATAAATAAAATAGATTTTTAAAACTCAATTCAGAATCAGACCAAATTTTTTTCGAACATTTGTATCATCAATAAGCTGTAATTCAAAAACTGTGCCACAAATTAGAACATTGAAAAATGCTCAATTCAATCACAACTGCATTTAAAGTAAAAGAGATGAGTTAGGACACTACCTAACCATCAACTTCAAATCTTCTAACAACACCAAACTTAATCCTGTACTGGGTTGTATGAATGCTCATGACCAGCTTTGGTACACAAAAAGTAAAGACTCTAGTGGAAAAAACTGAAAAAACATAGCTACTGAAATTGACAACTCAAACTACCAGCTAATGGTCAACCTAATTCACCTTGTCTGATATATTTATCACCGTTGATTGACATCTTGATCACTAACATAGAATGAATCATCATCTGACAAATACATACTAATGTCTTTATTTAGATATAGATGCTAAAACACAATTTTATTCATAACATTTAATTTATAAATATGATTTAAGAAAGCTTTCACCAAACAAGACAATGGACCTGTAGAGTCCATCATTTTGGTAGCAATCAATGAAAAGATGCCCAATCAACTTTTCCACCTACTCTACTTGGATAAAATACTCAACAATTTGTGGCTTAGATGTGGTCTATTCAGTGTGCAAATTGCCTGGTCTAGATGCACATTCAATTTTCTAACCTATCTCATTAAAAACACCTCAAAGCAGTTTTTTCATATTGTTAGTTCAGCTACATATATTTTACAGAAAAACCATATTAATAGCAACTAACTTCAATGAAAATTCTCTTTATTCCTCTTTTAAAAGTTAAAAAAAAGTGGTTTTTACAATTTGTTCACTTCACTACATCTATTCTACTAAATATAAATAAAGAAAATATTTTGAATATTTCTAACTGATCTGTCAGCAACAAATTTTATTTTATGATACAATTTATTAAAGTTTAAATTGGTTTTTGTTATGATTATTAAAGTTTAAATTGGTTTTTTTTATGATTATTAAAGTTTAAATTGGTTTTTGTTATGATTATTTTATTAGACCACTGAACACATATAAAATATAATTTGTTTTGTAGCCACTAGTAGTCAGAGAGACAGAACAGACTAAAAAATTACAACTCATAAAAAATTAAATGAAAATAGATAAATAATATTTATTTATAAAAATTGTACTTAAAACAGTAGAATTGACAAAAAAATTATTTGAAAAACCAAAAATGATCACTCACATATAAAAAGTAAATTTTTAAAAAATTAATTTACAATAATTCAAATTTTAAATTTTGTTAAATTAAATATTTCTAAAAAATTAAAACTATTAATAACTAAATTTTTAAAAGTATTAAAACTTTATTTAATTGTTTACTTTAATATTAATTAAAATTAAAAGTTACCAACCTTTTTGATGATTTATTAATTATTTAATTATCTATGGCGGCTAGTTGACTCTGTTGCTAACTTAATATTAAATTATTCATAATATTTCAGGTTTCTGCCATCAAATTTCTCAAATTACAATTTACAAATCCTAATTGAAAATGAAACAAATCAAATTGTATTGCAGTATCATGGCGTGCTGACTACTTACTCTACCTTCCACTACAAATCACAGTACAATACTAAACTAATTGCTAAATAGATATTCGGAATTTAAAAAATTACAAGACTTTCTTTCTTTTTATATTTCATTGATTTATTAACAACATCCTTTGGTTAAATATTTAACAAAATTTGCCCGTCTCGTAACAGAATGTTATCATCAGATGTTGTTAGCGTTGTTGTCAGTGCGTGCGTGACTGGGGAGGGGAGGGGAGAGGCGGTGCTTATTTGTGCGATGATGTGTTGCCCTGTACTCTACAGCCAGCTTCTCGTTTTAAAATCGATAGATGATGACAGTTTTGCATGTTTTGCTTCAAAACTGTTAAAACATGATTTTGTCAACCGCCATTAGTAAATAACGTTAAAATCCCAAACATCAATTCAGCAGATGTCAATTCATCAATTAGTGACATAAGATGATATTTTGTGAAATCTGTACGTAGATGCCAGCAGCAAGACAGCACTTATTTTATTTTTTTTATTTCACAAAAGATTTATTTCTTTGGTTATTTTTTAGCTCCTAAAATGTTAAGTTGTTAAAAAATAAGTAAAATGAACGGAATTTCAACTAAAACTTTACAAATTTATTTTATTTTAAAAATTTTATATCTAAATTAAGTATATTATGAAGATTATATATTATTACCGGCAAATAATATACCATGGACTTTTAGTTTAGGAACTGAAATATAGTACTTGAACTTGATGTTGACCCGAGAGCATTTTAGTTATTATATTATTTTGTATATAATAACTCATATATATATATATATATATATATATATATATATATGAGTATATATATATATATATATATATATATATATATATATAATTATTAATGAAACATTTATAAGCGCTAATTAAAATCAAAAAGTTCTAAAAAGCGCTATCTATAATCAAACAAAGTCAAAAAAGAAAAAAGTAAAAAGAAAAAAGCATGGACAAACATATATATATATATATATATATATATATATATATATTCATATATATATATATATTCATATATATATATTTTCATATATATATATATATTCATAAATACATATTTATATATATATATATATTTTATATACATTATATATATATACATTATATATATATATATATATCATATATAGCAATCATATTTTGTATGTATGTGTGTGTGCGTGGGTGAGTGTGTGT